TGAAACCCCGTCTCTACTAAAAATACAAAAATTATCAAGGCGTGGTGGCGGGCACCTGTAGTCCCAGCTACTCGGGAGGCTGAGGCAGGAGAATCGCTTGAAGCCGGGAGGCGGAGCTTACAGTGAGCTGAGATCATGCCACTGCACTCCAGCCTGGGTGACAGAGCGAGACTCCGTCTCAAAATAATAATAATAATTTTAAAAATCACTCAGTGCACAAGAAACCATAATACTGATGCCTGGGGTGGGGGTGGGGGAGAATAGGGTGGGAATCGGTAAAGGGAGGAAAATATTTTACTATACTGATTGAATTTGCTCAAACATTTTAAAGTTTGTAGAGCCAGGTGTGGTGGCTCGCATCTGTAGTCCCAGCTACTCAGGAGTCTGAGGTGAGAGAATCACTCAAGGCCAGAAGTTTGAGCCCAGACTGGCAACACATAGCAAGACCATGTCTCTAAAAAAATAAAAATAAATCGAAAAGTAAATAAAAGACGGAAAGGAATAATATACTCGACTTCATCAAGATGTGGGGAAGTCAAAATCAGTCACTAATAGTAATTAGCGCTGTGCCTAATACATTTTAAATGCATAAACTTTGGCTGTATTTGGAAGCACCAGCCATACCCACCAACTGCATCTGCCTCCCTATCTACTCCCCCCACTGTCAGCCTATTGCCAAGCTGAAGCGCTTCCCTTGAGAGTAGCCTGACCCTTTTCTTGCCCCCACAGTCTGATCTACTGGCTGACCTTCGCCGTGGGCCGCTCCTTCCGCGGCTTCGGCTATGGCCTGACGTTTCTGCCGCTGCTGTCAATGCTGATGTGGAACCTCTACTACATGTTCGTGGTGGAGCCGGAGCGCATGCTCACTGCCACGGAGAGCCGCCTGGACTACCCGGACCACGCCCGGTCGGCCTCCGACTACAGGCCCCGCCCCTGGGGCTGAGCCGCTCCGGCCTCCCACTCGGAGTAGCGGGTAGCAGCGTGGGTCTGACATATCTTTGAACCTTGTGGCCAGGCCTGGACTTCGCCCCCAGGCCTAGGACCGCGGTGGGTGGAACCCTGCTACTACCCCAACAGGGACTCCAATCAATCAGAGTTCTCCCCTTGCCCGGGCTGCCCTTCACCTTTGGTGCCCGGGACAGTCATAAGGGATGGACTTAGTTTTCTTGCAGGGAAAAAGGTGGACAGCCGTGTTTCTTACGGATGCTGAGGGCATGGGGCCAGGACCAGGGGAGAGGCACAGCTCCTTCCTGAGCAGCCTCCCACCACTGCCACAAGGGCTCCCTAATGCTGGACTCTGGTCCACTCCCCAGCTTCCCGTGAGGCAGGAGGCAGAGCCACAGCCAAGGCCCTGACCACTTCTGTGCCAGTTGTCTAAGCACAGTGCATCAAGGACGCTGGAAATGCCTTAAGGATAGAGGCTGGGCATCACATCAAATGGGACTGTGATGTTTGGTGAAAACCTTCCTGGGGATCTGGATTCAGGACCCTCCATGACTGGCCTTAGGGCCCCTTAGCCTGAGTTAAGACTATTTACAGCTGGCCAGTCCAGAGCTGCTGCTCTTCTACCTATTTAGGCCCCTGTAACTTCCCACCTTTAAACTGCCCAGAAGCCATGCCTCTCCCACGGGAAGAGGGGAGCAGACAGGGAAATCTGCCTCCCAAGAGGGTGTGTGTGTGTCTGTGTGTGTGTGTACGCGCACGCTCACACGTGGTGGCTGGGGAGTGCCTGGATGGTGCGGTGGCTGATGTTAACCTAGTATGAGTGTGTGTGTGTAACAATAAATTACTACCAGTCTTTGCTGGCTTTTTCTTCCTGTTTGTCCCCTAGTCTTGAGTGTCCCTTCCCTGTTTCATTCAGATGACAATAGAAACCTCCTAACTCTACCTGGTGGAGTGGAGCTGGCAGGTTCCTTGGTTCCACAGCAAGGAAATGGAGCCTCAAACAGAAACTTGCCTTCCAAGCCCATCTCTTAGCCCTTCCATTCCCTGGAACCAGCCCAAGACCAGCCCAACGACACTCACACATCAATAAACTGGAGCCCTGTGAAAAAAAAAATATCTATTTTCTTGCCTTCCAGGGCAGCCAACCAGTCAGAATGCCTCTCATTTAGGCCTGCAAGTCCCATCCAAGGGAAATGTGTGGAGATGCAAGAAGGCAACACCAAGGGGACCTTATCAATAGCCCTGTCCTCCACCCCCTCCAAAGTTCCCCCCGCAAGGTATGAAGGAAGCCCCACCTGGGGGTCTCCAGGAAGTTGAGGCTGGCCTCTGAGGTTCCACAGAAAAGCAAGACGGGGGAGTGAAGGGGCCGACTGGAACTTGATACTCCAACCTCCAGAGTTTTGAGGCACAACAAGACAGGTCCAGTAATGTCCTTCCCTCCAGAGAGCGGGCCTTAATTTATGGACTGGTACTCTGAGTACTTCTTGTGGTACAGTAGCAGAACCAAGCCTCCCACTAGCAGCATGAGCCCTGGGGCACCCAGGGCCACCGCCATGATGCCCAGGACTAGTGGGGACAAGCCATCCACTGGAGGGAAGCCCACACCCAGGAGCATCGACCTAGAGCAAGCAGAGAGAGAGAGGTAAGCGGGCTTAGGAAGAAAGGCTGGGAGACTCAGCCTTGGTCCACTTCAACTCCCCAAGCCCGCAGCCCAAGCCCTGGCTCTCACCAGCTGAGGTAGTGTTGGTCCCAGTAGCCAGGGCCTGTGGAAGCCCCGAACGTCACATTGAAGGCACAGAAGTTATTCTGGGACCCAAAGAAGGCTCGGACAATGGGTGACTGGGGAAGAGGGTATGCCAAGGCAGGATGAAGAGGGGAAGCTTGGCAGGGCAGGGCTGATTCTCGGCCCCCCGGCTTCTGGGAGTAAGCCACTGGTCGCCACTGTGCGAAACCTGATGGGAGGGAGCCCCACAGCAGCTGGTCCAACTGGGAAGAAAGGCAAACAAGGGAGGGTAAAGAGGACCAACCTGTGCCCAACCCTCTTTTCTCTGCCTCTCCCAGCCTTCATCTGTGACTAGCAACAGGAGTCCTGAGTCCTAGGCAGGGCCTCAATCCCTCCTCTGTAAAAATGGAGAGTTCGACTGGGTGAGGACTGAGTTGTTTTCCAAGCCTGCAAGTCTGGACTTAGCCCTCCTCTTGGCCCCCAGGCCCCTTGCAGATCTCCACCTGCCAGAGTGTAAGTCATACTGCACTGCCTGTCTGTCTCCACTGAGGGCAGGGACTGGGTCAGATTCATTAGCACAGTGCCTAGCACTTAAACTACCCAAAGTAAGTGTTGCTAAATGGCAAATGGTTGAATGAGTTTTAGGTCCCAATGGCGTCCCACCTGTATTCCTCACCCATCTGCCTCTCTCCAGGAAGCCTGACCTGAAAGACGGCAGGTGCATATTCATCGTCGATGGAGTGCTGCTCCTGCACTGACGGGCAGTCAGGGCCCTGGCCCAGTGTGGCTACCTCCAGCCCAAACAGGGAACGGTTTCCTCGGGGAGAGGCTCCAACCAGGGCCACCTCTAGCTGACAGGTGTCTGCTGTGTGCAGGAGGCGAGGGGGTTGGGCTGGTCGGCTGGACCTGGAAAAGGCCTGGACCTAGGAAGGAAGAAGCATGGGAGGTGTGGGAAATAGCTGGATGCCTGTTCTTAAGGGCCACCTCCATCATTAAATCCCACCCTCTCAAATCAGCCTTTTTGAGTCGTTCCAATTTCCCACCCCTTACCCTGAAGGCCAGGCTGCCATTGGCAAAAGTCCTGGTAGGGTCGTTCATGGGGTGGCCTTGAAATGTGGCACTCAGGGTGGCAGGATCCAATGAATCAGTGATGTTGTTCCAAGAGAAATCAGCCAAGGAGTATGGAGGATATGGTGTTCCTGGAGGCTTTGCTGCCGTATCAGACACGTTGGTGCTGTCAAACTCAAGCAGCTGGAGGGTGGGGGTGGGGTGGAACTGGGCTTGCCTGTTTTTCTCCCAAGACCACACCTCCCACTCACCCCCTACCAAGGCTTTCATATCTGAGTCTATTTCACCACCCCCAGTCTTTAGTTCCACCCTCTAATTGGGATGAACTCTCTCCTCTGCACTCTTCTCCTTGGTTCTCTCCCAACCTCCTCACCCTGGTAAAAACAAGGGCAGAAGAAAACTGAATGCTGTCCTTGGGGAGCACCATCAGGCCCCCATCGGGCTCAGGGGATAGCAGGCGGCTCCAGTTGACGCTCAGGGTGCTGTGGGGGGTGTTGGTGGCTACCAGCACCACTGCCAGAGGCCCCAAGCTGCTCCATATATAGTGCAGTGTGGAATTGGTGCCCACTGCCCGGATATGAAGCAGGTTCTGCACGGGACCCAGCCAGTTAGGGATGACCTCCAGAGACACCTGGAACATGGAGTAGTGGAGGGTTGAGGGAACAGGATCAAGGAGAGACATGGGCAAAAGAGAAGTTTGAGGGGAGGGGGGTTTGGAAAGTGCTGGAGAAAAGATGGGATCTTGGGGACTAGACAAGAGGAATGTGTGCGGGAGCCAAGGGAACCCTGGGGTAAGGGGCAGTGGGTACAGGATATCCAAAAAGGGATAGGGTAGAGGGTACAGCCAGGACTCCCCTGACCCTGGTGGGCAGGTCAGGGCACAGGGCTGGGAAGAAGAAAACATTCAACATTTGCCTGAACCCAGGGCTGAGTCGGGGTTCAGACTTCACCCTCACATTCACCCTACTCCACAATCCCGTCCCAGGACCCATGACCATCTCCCACACCCTCCAGGTTGAAGAACCCTCCTCTTGGCAGCTGCCCTCCACCCCTAGCCCCTGGATGCCCGGTTCCAGCCACCCTGCAAGGGTAGCATTTCCTGAAACTTCTATCGCTGTAGCCCCAGGGCCCTCACCTGGCGAGTCGTCTCCCCCAGCAGGCCAAATGGGGCTGCAAACAGAAACAGAGTCAAAAGGAGCAGGGGGCTGGGGGCACAGTGCCCCCAACCCCAGCTGTGCTCCACAGAGCCGCGCATACGGCCGCAATTCAGCCGACGGAAGAGGTGCCGGAGGGTCACATGACTCAGGTTCAGCTGATCCCTTTCAAGGGCGGAGCCACCAAACCAGTTTTTGCTTTTTTTTAAAATTTCCTTTCCTCAGCACCATTTAATGTATTAAAGAACAACTTTGTATTCTATCTTAAAACAGGAAACGTCACAGTCTCTTACAAGTAATACAATTTAATACAGTCACAAGATTTTAAGTGAAAAAATACATTATTCATGCTACAAGTTTTCAGTCTTCATGTTTTAAGAGGAACGTGAAATCTCATTTGGACACAAAGACAGGTTAAAGAAAATAAACCCAACAGGGAACTACTGCAGGACCAGCACATTGCTTTAAGTCCCTGACCCTGTCCCATTGTGGAACTCATACAGCTGCTTTCTACTCTAGCACATGAAACCCTGCGGTTCCTCTTCTCTGTGAACTATGAAACTCCCTGGGGTTCTTCCCTGTGGAACAGTGTGGTTCTTCTTCCCTGCCTAACATTTCAACAAAAATTGTAAATATTTAGAGATGTGTCACTAAATAACTACATACTTCCAAAAAAGCCAACTTACTTGTTAAATGTTGAAAGAAAAGGCCAGGCGCAGTGGCTCACACCTGTAATCCCAGCACTTTGGGAGACCGAGGCAGGCAGATCACGAGGTCAGGAGTTCAAGACCAGCCTGGCCACGATAGTGAAAGCCCGTCTCTACTAAAAATACAAAAAATTAGCTGGGCACAGTGGCAGGCCCCTGTAATCCCGGTGGCAAGCGCCTGTAACCCCAGCCACTCAGGAGGCTGAGGCAGGAGAATGGCTTGAATCTGGGTAGCAGAGGTTGCAGTGAGCCAAGATTGTGCCACTGCACTCCAGCCAGGGCGACAAGAGTGAAACTCCGTCTCAAGAAAAAAAAAAAATGTTGAAAGAAGGAGCTAGGCTGGGCGCAGTGGCTCACGCCTGTAATCCCAACACTTTGAGAGGCCGAGGCAAGTGGATCACTTAAGGTCAGGAGTTCAAGACCAGCCTGACCAACATGGTGAAACCACGTCTCTACTAAAAATACAAGAATTAGCCAGACGTGGTGGCAGGCGCTTGTAATCCCAGCTACTTGGGAGGCTGAGGCAGGAGAATCGCTTGAACCTAGGAGGCAGAGGTTGCAGTGAGCTGAGATCAGGACATTGCACTCCAGCCTGGGCAACGAGAGGCAAAACTCTGTCGAGAGAGAGAGAGAGAGAGAGAGAGAGAGAGAGAGATCGAGACCATCCTGGCAAACACAGTGAAACCCGTCTCTATTAAAAATACAAAAAATTAGCCAGGCGTGGTGGCGGGTGCCTGTAGTCCCAGCTACTTGGGGGGCTGAGGCGGGAGAATGGCATGAACCCAGGAGGTGGAGCTTGCAGGGAGCTGAGATCCGGCCACTGCACTCCAGCCTGGGCGACAGAGCGAGACTCCGTCTCAAAAAAAAAAGAAAGAAAGAAAGGAAAGAGCTAAAATTCGGTGAAATTTAAAAGGGTTGTAGAAAACTGTGAACTGTTTGTTTTCTCCACTTCACTCTGATTTTATTTTATTTATTTATTTTGAGACAGCATCTTGCTCTGTCACCAAGGCTGGAGTGCAGTGGCACAATCACGACTTAACTGCAGCCTCAAACTCTTGAGCTCACGTGATCCTTCTGCCTTAGTCTCCTAAGTAGCTGGGACTTCAGGCACATGCCACCATGCCTGGCTAATTTAAATTTTTTTTTTTTTTTTTGTAGACACAGGGTCACACTATGTTGCCCAGGCTGGTCTTGAACTCCTGGGCTCAAGTGATCCTCTCACATGGGCCTCCCAAAGTACTGGGATTATAGGGGTGAGCCACCACACCAGCCATCACTCTGATTTTAGAACATAGGACTTGTACGCAAAGGTTAGGATAAGGAACTAAAGATGCCAAAAAATACCCCAAACATTAATTGCAAAAAAAAAGACTAATGTTTGGCCAGACACGGTGGCTCACGCCTTTAATTGCAGCACTTTGGGAGGCCGAGGAGGGTGGATCACGAGGTCAGGAGATGGAGACCATCCTGGCTAACACGGTGAAACCCTGTCTCTACTAAAAACGCAAAAAAAATTAGCCGGACCTGGTGGCGGTTGCCTGTAGTCCCAGCTACTCAGGAGGCTGAGGCAGGAGAATGGGGTGAACCTGGGAGGCGGAGCTTGCAGTGAGCCGAGATCATGCCACTGTACTCCAGCCTGGGCGACAGAGCGAGACTCTTTTTCAAAAAAAAAAAAAAAAAAGACTAATGTTTGTGAAGAGCTTATAACATAGAAAAATATTTGTTATAAAATTAAAATTAAATGAAAAAGTAGGATACAAAACTATATAAAAAGATCTCAACTATGTGGGAAAAAAAGGATAAAGGTAATAGCTCAAAATGGTGATAGTGGTTGTATTTAAGTAGTCTGTCTATAGTGATTTTTTTCTTCTTTTTTACTTTTCTGTGTCTTCCAAATTTTTCTCTACTGGGGGGATTTTTTTTTTTTTTT